CATATACATAAGTAAATGCGCCCATGTGGTGTGCATATTATCATATGCAACTGTTCAATACAACGGTCTCTTTTTCGCTACGTGGAAAAAGACCTAGTGATTTTTATGATCTGAACTCATCAGTGAGTGGCTGTGTACACAGACAAGAGGCTTTTACCAGTCCAGGTGGAAAACAAGGGTCCTACACATATAGGAGGAAGTTATTTCTAGAACTGACCCGTAATAACGCTAAGAAACGATATTGCCTTTCTTTTGCTGTGGCCAGTACTCAGCCCTGTAGCTTTTTCGAACATCTCTGTCCAAGAGACAACGGTCAGTTCATTGGAGTAGTCGAAATTATTTGTGTACAGGGTGTCCTCTTGCCTGATTCCTAGCATTATGAAAACGTTCGCAGTATCAACGTATTTATCATATCAGGTTTTTCCTTCCAACATATAATGTCGTTCATTTTCTTCTCAGCTTTTCTAGCTATTCTGTAAAAACTTCTTCTAGATACGCATTTCATTCACGCCTTCCACTTGCAAATTGCTCAGGATTACTTTTACGATATTCACACAAGGCTGTAGTAGTAGAATTAACTAAAAAATATGTAGAAAAATGCAATAATCCCATTTGGTGACAGTAGAAATCCAAGTGATTTAATGTTTTCCTGTAGATACCTGAACTACCTTTGAACACTGCATAAATCAAAATAGAAATCTTGCCTAGCTTGAATAGCAATCTAGAAGGTGTTGACGGTATACCGACAGCGTCGATAGAGAGTTAAGTGCATAGCGACTTCCTTTGCTCTCTTTTTTTTTTTGTTTTTTTTTTATAGCTAACAAATGATATGTTTATTTCACCACCTTTGTGTATACGTCATTTTATTCTCATTGTATCACATAGAGATTGCTTTCTTTCTTTCTTTTAGCTATCTTCCCTTCAGTCCATATGTACTGTTATGCTGCAATTATCTAAATACTTCGATGTGTGTGCACGGATGATGTTCCGAGGGGAACGCCGCCGATGTCAATGGGCGACGCATCTCAACGATAACTTGTTTTGATCGGCTCCGATGTCGCCAAGGGGGCCTTGGCGTTCTGCAACGAACTCTTACAACGGGTCGCTTGCAAGAATAGAAAAACTCCGGCGACAATCATCGTTTCTATTGAATAACTGAAATGGCTAGGGAAACACAGGCAGAAAAAAAGATTGTACTATTAAAAAGATTCCATTGATGAAACTTAGCTACTATATGAAAATCTATAAAATGTCTGAATCGAACTTCACACAGTAGCCAGCTTCATCGGATTTCTTCGTGAGAAACAAAACTACCTCTCGGGTATCTAAGTTTACCGCGATCAAACAGCTAACAAACCTAATAATATTCATAAATAATGTTTTTCCTTACGTACGCATAACACCGTTAGTCAACATAATCGATTGTATAACGAACCAATCGAGGTACTCTCCTCCAAAGTTACAATATCAAGCAATGATGCATAGAAAGGCAGCATAGCATAGCACCCAGAAACAACAATAGACTAATCTTCTTAACTACGGTAATAGTGCCAATTGAAAGCTGACCGTGACGCTAAGGTAACCAAAGGCACCGAATGCTGACCAACATGATGCCATTGTATCATCACACAAACTGCATCATTTCTCGTGTTCGAGGCCGCTCGACGTTCAACGTTTGTAACGCAAGAGGACGAAGGTAAAAAAAACTCATGAGTCATCTGGTTCACAACTCATTTACGAATCGCGCATTCATTGCAGTAGTCGCAACTATACATTTAGCTGGAAAAGATTATGAGGCGAGCATTTTATTACCGAATGAGACTTGGCTGCAAAACCTGATTTGGCCATCGGATAGACATTGAAGTTGCCATTATTTTTTCTCATGGGAAAGGGGTCTTATCGCTTGCCCACCGGCATTTACATACATCATGTAGATAGGGATGCGTGAATCTCCCTGAGCAATCGCGTTTCGTCCATTAATAGCTGACACTGTTAGGTAGTCAAGGGAAAAATCGTACGAACAAAATCTGGCTGCTAGGTTTTATTCAGGGCAAATGATACTTTGGCTAGACGAAATACGTGTCCTTTCAAAGACAAAATGTTACTGATGAAATGTTTCTATATTGATCGCTTCTTTATTAGTCGGCTTTCAATAAAGTAAACGTCATAAGTATTATACTATTACTATCTACTTACTGATTTATTTTTTTAGCTATTTACTCATCTTGACTAACTCTCGTAGTCTTCGAACAGATCATTGGTCTGAAGTCCTGGTTGTACTGCTCGCGGCTGCTTTGTTCTATATATTTATCTATCTATAGCCTAATGAAGAAGTATCTGAAAAATATATAGCCTTAGTAGTGAGATCTTGACTCTTGCCATTTCGCGATCTGGATAATTATAAACTAGCCACTGCGATATGCCGATAGTAAAAGTGTGCCATATAATTTGATTGCATTTGAACAATGGGAATCAGACGTCGCGTATAGGCAGACGAATCAGGAACTGTGAGGGAAGCGAGCTTTAGTTAGATGGATTAGAAAACGTTTTGATCAACTTATTTTGACATGATACAAATAATCGTCTGGGCATCACCAGCCGCCGTCAGTAGCACTCGCCAACAGGAAACGTCTGTTTCATACTCGGTCTCGATTTTTCCCGTTAGCGGCCTCCACAATACATTGCTTTAGAGAAATCATGCTAAAACCGAGTTGATCATGATGTACATACATGTACGCAAATTGCCTCATTGGGGTCTACGATTTGGTGACGATTAATGGCAAAATAAACGGCAGACAACTTTGCCAGAGTTGTCTGTTAGCTTCTGTTGCTAGAAGGCCCTTTTTATGCAACGGTAACATGTGCGCCAATAGGCTAAGAGAATCACGGTGCGCCATGCTGTAAATTGTGTCTATAGGTAGCAATTATGAATAGCTGGCTAACATTTACGTAGGCACATAACGTTCTTGTCTTGAAGAAATGTTCCATATAGAAGAAATAACCATACAGATAGGACAATCGCTTGTCGCAGGGCAGATTTTACCATACGAATATTCCAAGGCTTTTCTCCTCAAGCTTTCTTTCAACTCTTTTTCTGACACTAGAGTGTTTTCTTTCGAGTTTTTTTTTCGTTACTTGGGAATACAGCAGGCGTCTGCTGGGGAAGTCAACGAAACAAAAAACAGGAATTAGCTAATTCATTTATCCATACACGTCGAAACAGATGCGCGCACAGGATAAAAAAACTGACTGAGCAGATTGAGATACGTTTATGTATATATATGTATAAAAGAATTTAATTTGCTGGTTATTGTGTAAGCATCTATTTGCTACAGCTTTGCCCCGCGCATTTGCTAACCAGTTAAACAGAGAAAAAAAACAGCCTTAGTCATTCGACCATCGTTGGCAGCTTTAATCAAAGAAACGCTAATCCCGATCATTCAGCTTAAATCCCCTCTGCGTGCCATATTATTGCAATATTGTCCTCCTCTACTATTCGGCCTGCGTTGTCTGTTAGTTGCAGTTGCATTGACCAGTCAGCTCTTCTCCAGCGTCCTTTCTTTCTGTCAGCGACAACCTGGCCTCTCTCGATATGCGGCCATGCCTTGGACCGAGTGCTGCCCCACTACGGATCTGGTCTTCGAGTGGGTTCCTTACTCGCGTTGATGGTCTGCTATCCTTGGATGGCTGGCTGGCTGGCTGGCTTCTTTGTCGTCGCTGTTGGCGTTCTGCTGTAGTCACGACGTCCAGCTTTCTTCTTGCTCTTCATTGTTATTAGAAGATTCATATCATTTATCGAGTAAAAAAGCAGGCAGCTATACTCGTATCTGTGTCTTTCCTCGTTGCGCTCCCATCGATTGTGATAAAAACTGGCGGTCTGTGCTGGCCAAGCAGCTGCAGTTACTCTAAGATCAGCAGACGTAACGGTACATCTTTGTGACATTTAGTTGTTACTTATTTCGCACGTTGCTGTGCTCCCAAGAACTCATCGCTGCCAGTACCCTTATTAGCTTAAAACACCACCGCTGTAGCGCCGAAATAATTTCCGATGGTAGGGTTAGCGACATCGAGCCAAGCTGAGATAAGATAGGGAACGCCAGACATCTAACCGACTCGAGCGACACGAAGGGCGCCACCGCGACCGTTTACTCTTTCTCTGTGTGTTGATGTTCCGGGGCAAGGGACATACTTACATGGCAAACTGGGGCGCAATGTGGCAAGAAATAGAAAACTCTCTGGAAAGGCTCCAATTCACTTAACCACGTTGAAGTGAATAAGCCAAACGGCCAACCAATCAAGAAACGGGAGAAAAGCACTATTAAAACAGGCCTCCAAACTTCCAAAGTCCATTCGTCCCGATCCAAAACGGGCAGCGACCGAGGCGGTCGCCTTGGTACAAATTAATTGTCTACTTCTCCTTCATTTGCAGAGTCTTCATTTTGTCGCTAGCCTGGCGATTCCGTCCATTATCGAAATGTGTTTGAGATCCGCTGAGAAAGTAATGAAGCTGGCAAAAAAGTGGAAAAAGATGCCATTGGTGAGTGGAGGTGGTCAGGGCGGCGCTTACTGCAATATCAAGGGCACTTACCGCAAAGGAAGAAGTGTCGCTAGTTGCTTTTAAACCAGAATACGCATTACTTTAACTCGTTACTGCTTAGCATCAAAATGTGTTTTGTACCATAATACAAGGAAAAAGGCACGGTAGAGGCTATGTAGACTAACCAATTGAAGTAAATACAACGAGTGAAAACTTATACAAAAATACAAGCTCGAAAATGGAAAAACTTGGTACGTAAATACGCTGGGTGGGCACAAAGGCACCGCTTGTATTCTGACTAATGTGCATATGAGCGTTGCATTGATTAGGTGCTTAAACCTAGAAACTAAAGATATAGAACCCACGTGTTCTCTTCTTATATGGATATCTACCCAATTTGTGTGGTAACATTATTGCACCGACGCTGTACCGACCAAACATTTTTTTTTACACTTTAACTTACCTATTTGTTATTTCCATTTCCGTTACACATCTGGTGATATCCGGGATGAACGTCTGTCCGGGGGGGATTTCTATCCAGGTGATCGTACGCGGGGCTCGCGCTTTCATTGCCCGAACTGCTTCCACTTCCGCTGGCTGAAACACGCCGATCTCTAAATGTCAATGAGCTGACATCCTGCGCCGGCAGCGGCGTGACGTTGAGTAGCTCTTTTTCGTCCCGCGGCAGCGGCGACGTAGCGAACGGATTGTTCAACGCCGAGGTGGCGGTGCTTGGCGCGGTGATAGGGTTCGGTGAGGTCATGGTCGCTGTCCCCCCCAAAGCCACGAAGCCAAAATTGGCTGTGTTCGTTGGTAGGGTACTCAGATTTGGAAGAGTGGCGACGGGAGCCGGGATGCTGGGCGGCGGAAGCCAGGAGTTACCGTTGTCATTTCCCTCGAAACCATCATTGTGAATTTTCGGGCTGGGTTCTGAGTAGAGAGGTTCTTTGCTGCCCATTTTGATATCCTCGATATCCTGGTAGATGTTTGGCCGATAGTCGAGATCGTTGCGCTTCTGGTACTCATCAGCTACGAGATCGGCCTGCTTTATTTTGTCCTCAAGCGCTACTGAGCTGCTGCAAGACGGCTTCATTTTATCGAATTGTGCTATTTTCTCGTTTTCCCAGTTCATTTGCTTTGGTAAAGTAACTATCAGGCCCTTACTGAGAACCTTAACCGACGATTCGGGATGCTTCTGCGGCGTTGGTGCAAAGTCGTACATCGGATTATGGAACGACGACTGATTGCCACAATCCTGCCCATTACGTTCTTGTGGTTCGTAGTGAACTGCTAACTGCAGCTTGAGATTTTTGACCACTCGTCTATAGTAGAAAGCGATGTAGAGCACTGCCAGAGCTATGAGCAACAGTAGAATGATAGCCGTCACAGTGCCGAATTGTCCGGATTCGCTGTGATCACTTGTGTACGAATCGGCCTGTGGTCGTTGTACGCACTGCTGGTTCGTCTCACCGATTCGACAAACACAGCCAAGAGTTGGCAGGCATACCTCCGTATCGTCACGACACTTGCATGGCTCGCTGCAGCCATCACCGTACATGTCATTCTGACATCCTGCAGAGCATAGGCTCCCAGTCCAACCAGGGCGGCAGATGCAGACGCCGTCTGTGGCCCGACATTTGGCATCATTGCGGCAACTGCATCGTTGGCGACAGCCTACACCAAAGAAACCATCAGGACACGGATCATTGCAGTTGGTGCCGAGCCAACCAGGTCCGCATAAGCACGTCCCATTTATGGGATCGCAATCCCCACGCTTGTTACACTTGCAGATCTCGTTGCAGTTCTCGCCGAACGTGCCTTCAGGACAAGGTTTCTCACATAGAGCGCCAGTCCACCCCGGTAAGCATTCGCATTTTCCGGTTACATGATTGCATCCTGGTTTAGCGTTGAGACACTTTGGACAGTCCTGGTTGCAATTGAACCCAAATTTACCAAAAGCGCAAGGAGTCTCACATCGTTCACCTGTGTACCCACGTTGGCAATAGCAGTCGCCACTTGTTTGCTCGCAGTGAGAGTTTCGTTGACATTCACATATCTTGTCGCAGTTCTCGCCGTAAAGACCCTGTTCACAGCGGGTTTCACAGCGAGCCCCATTCCAACCGCCTTTGCATTTGCATGCCCCACTAACGTTATCGCAGCCCACAGTGTTTGCCCGTTCACAGTGGCAGAGGTGTCTGCACTCGTGGCCGTAGTATCCATCCGGACATTTTTGCTCACAGTGGGTCCCCCGGTAGCCAGGCTGACAACGACATTCTCCAGTCACCGGATTGCAATCACCCCCATGGTCACAAAGGCATGTCTGAGAGCAGACTGTGCCGTACTTTCCGGCCGGGCATTTCAACTGGCAGGCGACACCGTACGTTCCATTTTGGCAAACGCAAGCTCCAGATACTTTATGACAATCGGAACCCCCCAAACAATTGCATTTATGTTCGCAGGTCTGACCGAATCGACCTTCAGGGCACGTCTCGTTGCAATGCTTACCAACAACGCCTGGCTCGCAAATGCATTTTCCCGTAATGGGATCGCACGAAGAGTCGTTACAATCGCATGATTTAGAGCAGTCCTCTCCGTACTTTTGGTGAGGGCAGCTGCGTTCGCAGATTGACTCGTACCAACCAGGCTTGCAGGTGCATTTGCCTGTGATCGAATGGCAATGTTCAGTGTTGTTGCTATTACACTGGCACATTTGATCGCACTTTTCTCCAAAATAGCCATCAGGACAGCTACGTTCCTCGCACTTTTCACCAGCGTAGCCTTCTGGACACACACAGTTTCCACTGACGCTGTCGCACGTTGCTCCATTTTGGCAGTCACACGGCTTCGAGCAGTTCTGACCCCAATAGCCAGTCGGACAAGTGTCTTCACAGTAGTTTCCAATATAGCCTGGCGAGCAGAGGCACTTCCCTGTTTCATGGTCACAATCCGCATTGTTGTAACAGGGACAGCGTTCCTTACAGTCTACTCCATGAAAGCCTTGGGGGCATTTATTGGCGCACACTTCGCCCGTCCAGCCGGGCTTACATATGCACTTGCCCGTCACTGCGTGACAATCGGCACCGTTTTGACATTGACACGTGTTACTGCAGTCTTCACCGTGAGTTCCCTGTTGACACTTCTCTAGACAAAGGGGACCGCGGTAGCCCGCCGTACATCGGCATGCACCAGACACGGGATCACAATCAGCACCGTTCTTGCATTTGCAGGTCTGCATACAGTCGTGGCCAAATTTCTTATTTGGACAGGATGTGTTGCAATCGCTTCCCATCCAGCCGGGTTGACAAGTGCAGGTACCAGTAAGTGGGTCGCACGATGCACCATTTTTGCATGGGCACTCGTGGTCGCATGATGGTCCCCACAGATTCTCCGGGCAGTTGATTTCACATTGCAGCCCACCGTAGCCCTTGGGGCATTTGCAGGTGTTTGGACCGGTGCAGTGGCCATTTAGGCAGGGCGGATCGCAGGTGGGCACACAAGACTTGCCATCAAGTGATACTTGATAGCCGTTACAACAATGATTCTCTCGGACGGTGTAGTTCTCCTCCACCTGCAAAACAAGATAAACACACCGCACTTGAATAATTCCTGCTGATATTCAATTGGTATTAGGTGTTGCTTTTTAGCTTTCGTTTGCGATGACTGCTTATATTGCAATAAAATAACTCTTGATTTTTACGCATAAATCTTTTATTCATTAATTTGGTATCGTCGGCGAGGTCCGTTTTTGCAAGAGTTTGGTCTGGTCTGGTCTAAGAAATGATAAGTTGGTTTTAAAAAAGTGTTTCATTTACGCTAGCAAAATTCGATCCCGTTCACAAATATGCGACCGATCATCAGTGATCTTCTTGTAATGTCACCCTGCACTATAAACATATTCAAGCTATATCGTAGTCCGTCGCTTTACTTGTGGCTAATGGTCATAGGATCATGAATCAAATCGTTAGACGGTGGGTCAACATGAAACTACGTTGAATTCATTCTGCATATGGGTTAGTCGGTGTGCTAGAGCGAACGAAAGGAGCCATATTCATTTCACCGGGCCACCTGCTCTCCGGTATGTCCGATCTATTCAGAAAGTAGTTGACAAATCAGCCGTACATTTGCCTAAAGGTAGGTTATTTATGCTACTACTTTCATTGTTAATGTAGGCGCAAGCGCATTTGCTGCCTCAGGAAACGGTAGGAGGGTTATTCCGCACCTCATTAATAGTGAAATCATCGATGTTTGTCCTTGGTAAGGACAGTGATAATAAAAACAACAAGGTTCTACCGGACTTCAAAACAAAGGTGGAATGTCTGCAGAGGAGCTTCTTTTTCGGAGACAGATTATAATCTCGAATAAAGCCATAAGTGATCGCGCCACATCATAAGAGCAGACTGTTGGAAACTTAGCTAAATATGAATAATTAATCTCACAATGACGAGTATTTCATTCGTTGGCTCTAGAATGGTAAACCACATTTACAAACGTAGCAAGCCGTATAGCCTTTTAGGGACATTCATTAAAAGCGGCTCAGATCCTTATCAGCAATTAAGCTCATTCTTCATATTGGTCGATAGGTCACTTCAAACACCGGTTAATTATTAAGGTTTCATCGAATGACTAAACGCAATAACTTTTTTTTTTTTTTTTAGCCCAGTATGTCGTCAACATCTTTTCCTCAGTTCATACTTCCTGTTGGCTCGCATCCGCATATTTTTCCATCGGTTAGGTTGCTTACGCCATGCCGCTGGGTTTTCTGTGTTAACGCTTCTACCGGCATACACAATGACAGAGTTAAGAAACAGCAGATAACTGCCAGTCTTTTTCGCTGTCTACTTGAAGCTGTCGATTTTTGTTCACCCTCACAAACGCCAAAAAGGCGCAATCAGACATTCGAAGTCGCTCCGTCTTCTGCGGATCGTTTGATCAAGGTTCATAGAAGCGCCAGCCATTACACCAGCAACATAACGTCTTCTTCTTCTTCTTCTTCTGTTCGTTGACAGATCTGGCTTCTACCAAATTGATTTCGTGTATTTGCCAGTAGAGGGACTATCTTCTGGCCCTATGCAAGATGTCGCTTTCTTCACATACCGCCGTAGCTAACCACTTCGATAATCGGCCGCGCAAACCACTGTGAAAAGTAACAAAAGTGTCTCAACTTGAGCTAAAGTTACCTTGAATATATTAGTTAATGATGGTCCTTAGCCACAAATACGTTTGTGTACTTCAGCTCATCGAGCAAGCATGACAGTAACAGCTTTCAAGTTGCCGCATGATACTCAGCACTTCGGTAACTTGAAGAAAGGAGCACTACTCATCTGTGAAATGCTGGATGTTTAATGAGCTTAGATCAAGCTTTTCCTGCACCGAACTTGATGTATATATATATATACATCGATTTCGATCTTCTTCTGCACAAGTCACAAAACAAGTGTCTTCTTGACTGCATAGTTTATTGTTACGATTGTTTATTACCACCCTTTGTTCCATTCGTATGAACTTCACGCCTTTCTAGTCTCTCCTATACGTTATTTGCTTTATCAACGGAATATATAGTCCCAGAGCTGCCAGATGTGCCTATAGTCGGCCTTCAACCAATATAGTAATGGACAAATGAACAATATCTTCCATTAAGATCATTCATAGATGATCCAGTTCAAGTAGCCCTTTTTCGTCAACAAGCCTTCACTATCACAAAGTACATCAAAAAAATAACCTATCATGCCTTCAACTTGAAGGAACTTTATTGCGGTACGGCCAATAGTATGGGGTGCTTCGTGGCAACATTTCATAACAGCAGCAAATCAATAGAATAAAGATAAGTTAACTTAAATCTACGGACTACTTGTTTTGTATTTTTGAATTCTGCTTTTGACTCGAATCATTACACACTCTACCAGCCATCGGAAATAAAACGCCATTTTCTGGCAATACCTCAAGCTGGCTAATCCAAAGTTGTGATTCTCAATATTCGAACTCCTCGTACGGATTCTTTACACCGTGTACCCAATCTGATTAGAAATAATCCTGACCTGAGCCAATTCGTCATTCTCCTAGTAACATATTATAAATTGTCCTGTTGCCAAAAAAAAAATTGCTAAACATAGCCCGCTAGTCAGATGCTTGAAAAATTGCCCCTTCACAATTGCCCTGCTATGTAGCAGCTTTCCTTTGAGATCTTTAATAAACACACATTCATTGAGCTGTCAAACCTGATTTTAACACCTAACCGATATTGATTCACTGCTGCCACAGGTACGTTTTGCTTGAAAGTAATCGTTTATTTCCGTTTCTACAATCCATACGTAATCGAAATATACAGCTAACTGTAACATGTTCTATACATTTTGTCGTTAGTGCATCTGAGTGATATGGCCTATGCGGAAAACACTGCGATGCGTCCTCCCTCAGATTGTGCATATTATGACCTATGCCCGCTTGCATCTGCGGTCGTAACGGATCTACAATTCATGTTGTCGAAACCTAACCAATTTATATAGTACCCAAACAACGCACCGAACAGTGGCAATAAGTTCATTAATATTGGGCCTTAAGGCTTAAAAGCATCTTACTTATATAAATACTATATGTACTTTACCAATTGCTAACATTAACCATTAACGGACTAAGTTACTTATTTATATTTTGTAAACAAACACAGTTGTGGCGTGGATCAGCGATTGTGCGACACCTATAAATGGATGTATGACCGTTCTGTCTAACGCTGCCAGCAATGAAGTTGGTCGGGGATGAACGCGTCTTTATGTCTGTGTCTATCAAATCGGTACGACATGCTGCAGAACCTAACATAAGTCAAGAGACGTGCTGTCGTCCTGCGCTCGCTGGTATATGACTTATGAGAACTAGATAGAAGGTAGCTTGCTTCTTGGAGAATGAACTATGTTGTAGGGTAATACACGCTGAGCTTCAGGAATATTTTAAGGCTCGACCTGAGAGCTTTGCTCCGCCCTCGCCTTGACCGTTTATCTAGGCCACCTGTCGAACGAAGAAAGCAAATAGGGCTCGCACCGCAGCGGCCGTATTCTCTGCTAATCAATTTCATCAAACTCTTTCCCGGAAAATCTGGGCAGACTTAGAGGAACAATAACCCCAGCTCCGGAGCTGAGTCGCGTTGCCCACAATCAATGGAACAGATACACATTGGGTTTTCTTATTACTTTGGAAAAAAGCCTAACGCGCCAGCCAAAGTCGCGTCCGATCTGCGCAGATCTGCGTGATGAAGGAATAAATGTTTTAATTTTATGCCTATCGAATACGTGAGCAGAACAGTTTGTAAGCTTGTAAGTATCCATAATAGCTGCATAACCTATGTCACGCCGACCTTTACGGTATCCCAAATTCCCTCATTTTAGCTAAAATTGTTAGCATTATTTTTAGACAATGAAGCTACGCTGGAGTTACTTATGATCTCTATCATTCGGAGATGATACAATGTCCTAAGTACGCGCAGGCATATAGTGCGCCAAGAACACCTGCCTGTGTGCATAACCAAAAGTCAATGTATACATTTAAACACTGATATATACCTAATTTCATTACATTCAGTATATTGTCAGAGTAAGCCTGTTGAAGGAAATGGAGCGCAACGATTGCATCAGGCTGACTGCAACTTTGTATTCCGAAAGCTATTCTCGCATTCAAAAGAGTGTATTTAAACCTCTCAGCATTTTACAGTTTACCTTGAACCTGCTGCCGTACCTTTTGCCTATGAGCCAGTTGCCTATCATACACAGTATGCATATACATGGTGGCATATACACAGATGATACGTTTCCTTAAAAAAACAGTCATTCTCAAAATGCAGCGGAACCGTTCATAGGGGGTTAGTCATTCCCGGGATCTCTACATTATCTTTGGCCTATTACAGGTTAACTATCCGGATATTTTACGATTTAACGTCGAGCTGATGCACACAGGAAACCATTTGTTAAACCGCTTAAATTAAATAATACACAATTTCTTTTTAATAATTGTAATAATCAACTAAAAACGACAGAAATCACGGTTCAGAAACCAGCTCTACGGTTATAAGCATCGCATGGAAATCCTGTACTATGATTATTTTTATTTCCTATGTTATTATTCTTAAGAAAAACGTTCATGTAGTCTAAAATGGTGCCCATAACGTTAGCCTAAAATTTTCGATTTAGCCAAACCCTTATATAAGTCAAACCCTTGGATAAGAAGACCGTTGAAACAATGAAGAGCTGCTAACGTGACCACGAATTCAGCGAATAGTTGGCCTGGATATTCAAACAAGTCCGTTACAAGCTCAAACGATCCTCCTGTTACGTTGTATTACCCTTCGAGTATAAATAAAAAGTGAGTTTTTTTTTGAAAATCATTTGTACCAAGCGAATAAACTAAACTAAAGGATGTCAAAACTTGAAACGATAAGTTACGACATTGCTGTTTCTTGTGCTGTTACATAAAAAAAAAAGGCCATGACGCGACGCACACTTTTTAAGATGTGAACCCTTCACATGAGATTCTCGGTCGGCGACAATTCGCGGCCCGTATTCAAACTTAGGGAAGATACTCATG